AGAGACAGGTCCTTGGAGAGGGACATCATGCTTGGTAGGGTAGAGGGACAGCGCAGGAGGGGAAGACCCTCTATGAGGTAGATTGATTCAGTGACTGGGGTAATCAGGATGGGAGTGTCACAGGCAATGTGATTGGCACCGGATAGAGCAGGGTTTAGGGCTGTTGTACATAGGGTCGCTATGAGTCGCAAACGACTCAACGACACATAACAACAACAAACAACAAGGATGAACCTGTTTGTTTTCTTAGCAGTCCACATTGTAATTCATTAATTACATTAATAAGTGGTCATTGTTATAAATCAAAAGGCCTGTAAATGATTATAAATTATTGACTAAGCAAAGGCATTTGACTGGCTGGGTCATAACAAATTATAGCTAGCACTGAGAAGAATGAGAATCCCAGAACACTTAATTATACTCATGCAAAATCTAGACCTAGACCAAGAGGCTGTTGTGAGAAAAGAGCTAGGGAGCACTGCATGATTTAAAATTAGGAAAGGCGTGCATCACAGTTGTATCCTTCTTCTATACCTGTTCAATCTACATGCTGAGCAACTTATTCAAGCAGCTGAAATCTATGAAGAAGAATGTGGTCAGGATCAGAGGGAGACTCATCAATAACCTTCGTTATGCAGACAATACAACCTTGTTTGTTGAAAGGGAGGAGGACTTGAAGCACTTGCTGCAGAAGAGCAAAAAGTGCAGCTTTCAATATTGATTGCAGCTCCTTCCTCTCCGGCCGCTCTGCCCTGACTCCTCTGCTGTCTCTCTGCAGCTACGAGATCATGCAGAAATGCTGGGAAGAGAAGTTTGAGATTCGACCACCCTTCTCCCAGCTGGTGCTGCTTCTGGAGAGACTGCTGGGCGAGGGTTACAAAAAAGTATGTTGAGGCAGGGGAGGGGCAAGGAATAGAGTCGGGGACACTGGTCAGACACTGGGTGCAAGTCTCCTTTGCCTTCTCTGGGTCTTATTTTCCTTCATGGTATAAAGAAAGTATGGCGTGAAGCTGTGCTTTTCGTTTATTCTTGTCGCTTGTTGAAAGAATACTATGCAATTGATTTGGATCGGGTTGGAGCACCTATAGCCCATTCAGTGTACATTTTCCATGTGACTTTGCATTCATGCCAAATTCAAAGGCTCTTTAGAAAGTTTGAACAACCTCAGGCTAGATGACCGCTAGAGGCCTGATCACTAGGTCTCCCTAGAGGTCCTTACAAAGCACTTTGAGTCAGAGGACTTTAAAGGCACTGTGCCCACAGCAGAAATTAGCATGAAAAGAATATTTCCCTGTAGAAGAATATTTTCCTGTGGGTACAGACACAGCCAAACCTGGTCCATCGTTCATCCTCATTTCCGCCCCAAGTCCAGCCATGCCTCAGAGTTCAGTGACATCCACAGTGAGGAAAACTGAGGCCCATTAAAGAAGACTGAGGTAAAATAAGAACCCATACAGTGAGGGGGAGCATTAGGACTTGCAGTACTGTCTGCTAACTGCCCCTTTCCTGGGTCACCTGAGTTCATCTTGTTTTGTGAGATCCCAGTGGACAAGCAGCTCAGTGTGTGGCCTTGGGCAGCGACTCCTCTCTGGACACCATACCCATTGCCATCAAGTCAATTCTTTTTTTTTTTAAACGTTTTTGGTGTGTTTTTTTTAAATGAAAGTTTATAAAGGACTTGGGTTTCCATTCATTCATTGTTGCACATTTCCCCCCTGCCCCTACCCCACTCCCCGTTTGCTTTTTTCTTTGGAAAAAAAGGTTCTTTAATTGTTATATAGTCCCCCTGCCCCCAGACCCCTTTACTATGCAGTTCTTATTCGGGACTCTGCCATCAAGTCAATTCTGACTCATAGCAACCCTGTAGGGCAGAGTAGAACAGCTGAGTAGAGTTTCCAAGGCTGCAAATCTTTATGGACACAGACTGCTACATGTTTGTCCTGTAGAGTAGGCTAGTGTGTTTGAACTGCTAACCTTTCAGTTACTAGTGGAGAGCTTTAACCATTGTGATACCAGGGCTCCTTCTGTGGGTACCAGTTTGTTCTTTATATAAAAAGAGAGGGGCTGAGTTAAGGTTTAACCATTAGAAGATCCCCAAAAGCCTTTCCAGTTCTGACCGTCAGTGTTTCTGTGCCCCGCGGAGCAGAAGTACCAGCAGGTGGATGAGGAGTTTCTGAGGAGCAACCACCCAGCCATCCTGCGGTCACAGGCCCGTGTGCCTGGATTCCACGGCTTCCACCCTACCCTGGACTCCAGCTCTGTTCTCTATACGGCTGTGCAACCCAACGAGGGGGACAATGACTACATTATTCCCCTGCCTGACCCCAAACCTGAGCTTGGAGACGAGGGGCAACTGGAGGGCTCCCCGAGCCTTGCAAGGTATGCATGGTGTGTGGGAGTGTCTGTGTGCTGTCAGGCCACCTCAGAAGTAGCCCCTTTCCTAGCTAATGAATTCCTGCCAACGGTGCCCTTGAGGAGAGTATGACCCATGGGGACTCTCTGAACGAGGGCTCTGAACCCTCCTGTGTCATCATTGTCATCACTGACACACTTGAGCCCATTGCTGCTGTCACTGTGTCAATCCATTTCATTGAGGGTCAGTGACTAGTTAGTACTTATTCCTGCTCTTTGGCCTATGATTCCTTCAGGTGGAGAGGACAGATAGAAGAAATGAGCTGGGATTTATTTGCATGATATTGCTTTGCTTTAAGAGACCCTTGGACCATCTTTTCTTCCTTAAGAGGAAGGAGAGCACATGCATGGCATCTGTAGCACCCCAGGTGTTAATCTAGGGCCAAGGCCAGCTCCAGGCCTGTAGTCTTTCCTTCCACAGCAAGCCCTGAAAGCCCCGGAGAGCATGGGTGCAGGAAGCAGACACCTAGAAAAGCTCAGGTCAATGTTCAGACTGGAAAGGAGGTGTGTTCTTTGCTTTTGCCTTACGATGTGGCCAAGTTCCAGGGTGGAGAGTGTTTTAGAAGAAAGTTATCACCTAGACTTAATGTTCAGAAAGGATCTCCCCTTGGTTAGGGAGAAGGACTTCCCCTGCAGGCTTGCTCACTCCCCAGACAAGATCCGCCTCCCCATGCAGTAGCAGGAGCCCGAGGCTGGGTTCAGCTGCCTCTGTCACTGGCTGCTATGGGGTCTGGGCAGGGGCCTTTGCCTCTGCGAGCCTCCTTTCTCCATAGGCCTGAGGGGTACACAGGACTCAGAGGGCCCTGGAAGGATGGCCCTGCTCTGACTGAGAAGCTCACATTTCCAGATTCCAGGAAACTGGAGAGAGCTCAGCTCAGAGCTGTCTGAGAGGAGGATGCTGGCCCTATCCTGTCCCTTCAGACAAGCTGCTTCTGGACTGCTCTCTTTATCTATAAAATGAAAGCCTGAGAGGGCTTTCATTTCGGGGTTGTGAGGATCACATGAGGTGATGTGTACCTGCAGGAGTGCAGGAACTGGGCTATCTGGTGGGACCGGCAGGGAAAAGAAAGCTAACTGGGCTTGCTCCAGAATCCCAGCTCCAGTGCTTACCTGATAGGTCATTTGGAGCAGTTATGTAACCCCTCTGGGCTGCATTTTTTTCTTGGAACTTGCCTTGTGTGGGTTTTACATGAATGAGATGAGTGAAAGTGTGTAAGGTACACAAAGCAAGGTCGAACATAGTTCTTAACTAGCATTGCTATTATCTTACTGCACTTCCCTCCCAGTGCCCCTCACTCACCTGCCTTTCATCTCTAGCTCCACATTGAATGAAGTGAACACCTCCTCTACCATCTCCTGTGACAGTCCCCTGGAGCCACAAGAGGAACCAGAGCTGGAGGCTGAGCCCCCAGAGGAGCTGGAAGCCCAGTCACTGGGTTTGGGCTTCCCAGGGCCTCGAGCAGAGACAGAAGACAGCTTCCTGTAGGGGCTGACCCCACCGTGCCTGCATGCAGCTCCCCTCTACCTCCCACCACCCAGCGCCTCCTGGCCTGGCCTGGCCCAGCCTCCCATCAGCCAAGCTGCCCTAATAGCTGCCCTCTTCTGGAAGGTGCCTGCTCTAGCACATTGTGGCCCAACCCCAGGGGCATAAGTGGCAAGAGAACTGCAGGGAGCATGACCAGCCGTCTGCCTCTGAGGAGGCCATGTGATTCTGAGCCAGGATTCCCCTCAAGGCCTCAGTTTCCGCACCTGTAAGAAGGGAACATTGGGTTTGTTGACCCACAACCTCAGATTGCCTCCTGGATGTCAGGTGGGGAGACTGGAATATTTAGAGAGTTTCTTGGGGTTCCTGAGATGGTAAATAGCATTGTCTTCAGTCAGCCAGCCCTTGCGGAACTGCAGTCTGTAGGCACCAGTTGATTGCCGAGTCTCTCCTTGCACTTGTATCCACTGACAGCTGGGGAAGGGGCCTGGCCTCCTTGGCTCCTGGCGGGGCTGAAGCCTGGCCTTGGACACTGTTGCCTCATCCAGAAGGCACCTCCCCACAATACCAGTCTCCCCTTTCCCAGGCCGAAGCTGGTCTGGCGCCATCTGTGCTTAATTAATGCTGTTAATTAGTGCTGAGCTGAGGCCAAGTACAGGACGCCCTGGCCTGCAGCTCTTGCCCTCGGCAAGCTGGGAACACCCCTGCCTTAGAGAGGAGCAGGGCTCATGTCTTCTGGACTCGTAGGTCCCAGGGTCTTTGCTTCAGCGCCCTCCTTCCTCCTCCATCCACTGGAGTCTCCAGGGCCAGCCTGATTGTGTCTGTGATGCTTATGTCGAAGTGCCTGTGGGAAGTGTCCACGTCCGGTCGAGATGTCTTCCTGACTCTGCGTTGGATCTTCAGTGAGACCTTGGAGGAAGCCTTTGCCCTCTCTGGGCCTTCTTTCTCCTCCTTGAAAAATGAGCAGGTTGGACTCGTTGACTCTAACTTCCCTGTCAGTATTAGCATTCTAGACTATTCTAGGCACACTTGCCCAATGAGGCAAGACCAAACACCCCTAAGGCTTCATCGTGTGGGACAGCTGGGGTCTGAGGGAAATCTTGAGCACACAGCACATTCCAAGGGTTCAGGAACTGAGCCCCCCTTCCCCAGGCCCCTGGTACAGTCCATGATCCCAGCAGCCCTGGCCTTAACTTGGAGTGACAGTGTCCTGGAAAGTCCCTGCAGCTGCCTAGGGACATGAGAGATCATGAAACCCTTCCAGCATTCAGGCTGAGCTCTCTGGAGCTTATATTCAGGGCAAAGCAGCCGGGAGGACGAGCCTGACCACACCTGCAACCCGCCCCTCTGCACCTGCAGTCCAGGCCTGGGCACAGACACGTCGGCAGGCAGCGAGTCCAGAAGTCCTGTGTAGGATGAGACGCCTCCAATGGGTGACCCAGGAAAGGGGTACCAGAGGTAGGGCTGCGCAAATGTTCATCAGTCCTGAGGCTCAGTATTTTTGTTACTATCGTGGAATGCTTTAGGGGTTGCCCTCTTAAGGCAGCACCACATCGGGATATGGTTTGCTGCCCCTCAAGCCTGCTCACCTCACTTTCTCTGCCAGCCATATGCAACTCAGTGGGCACTGGACATGCCAAGGGGTGAGGGCTACAGCCAAGACCACAGGCAGGAGATGGAAGTCGGGCACCAGCACCTCCCCTGGCTTGCTGGCATCCTCTGCCCCAGGAGCCCCCAAACCTGGACTGAGAAGGGGAGGTGGCTTCTAATTACGGTACCAAAGATGTAATCACCTAGGTTTACAAATATTTTTAGGACTCACGTTAACTCACATTTAAACAACAGAAATGCTATTTTGTATGCTGTCAAGTTTGCCTATCTGTGTACTTTTTTTAAAGAGAAAGATTTTTAATATTAAAAATGGTGCTTCTTACTCACAGACTTCATGGTTTCTTGCGAGTTTGGTGCCCTGAGCCTGACTTCTGGACCTTGCTCCTGGGAGGCACAGGGTGTGGAGAGGAGCAGACAGCCTTGTCGGCCACACAGGCCTCAGACAGGTCCCTTTGTCTGAGTCTTATTTTCTCAGCTGTGAAATGAGAATTTTCATACTTTTGAGAATTTCCAACCCTTTAGTAAGTTAGTATCTTCCTGTCCTTCGGCCTCAGTGTACTGAGCTGTAAAATGGAACATTTTCCCAGTTCTGCAGCACTAAATCTGGGTGGGCGAGGAGAGCATTGGGCTGGGCGGGACCATTGGGAGGCTCTGGTGCCGAGAAGCCTGAGCCCCGGCACCCGTCCTGCCATGTGCCTTGGCTTAGGATAAGCTGGCTAACCTGCCAGTCTGCCCTTGGGCCCAGACTGCAGCTGGTGTGGCTGGTGAGAAGCATCCTTCAGGGGCCGAATCCAGTCCCTTGTGAGTAATGCTCGGGTCCCAGGTGGAAGCAGGGCAGACAGAGCACCCAAGGTGGCCAGAGACGAGGACGAGGAGGAAGTGGAGAGGGCAGAAGAGATAGAAGAGGAAGAGGAAGAAAGGAATGGGAGGGAAGTACAGCCAGGGAGAGGTGGAAAGGGGGAGACCAGAGGAGAAAACAGGGGCCAGGCTGTGCCACGGAGGGCAGAGGTGCAGAACCGGCAGGGCTGTTGGCACCATTTAGCTTCAGCAACTCAGTAGCTGTGAGGTAGCATGAGCTGACCTCCTGGTCTCTGCCGGCCAGCTCAGTATGGCCATAGGTTTCCCTGCCAGGCCCAGGCCTTTGGTATGCTGGCACCAGTGCAGCATAGGGGCAGTCAGCGGGCATTGGAGCTGTGTGGGCAAGAGCGAGTGCAAGAGTCCTGGACTCAGACTGGAGCTTTTTGGGCCTCCCTCCTGAACCTTTGGAACGGGCCACTTGATGTGGGAACTGTATAGCGTGAAACCGGTCATCTTCTGTGTGTGTGTGACCCAGCTCAGGCCCTTGATCTCTCTCAGCAGGGAAGAGGCATCTCAGTTTGGATATGAGGGAATGACATCTTATTTTGGAGCTGCATGTCTTCCTGGACTACGTCCAAGCGCCTGAGGCTGTGGCTACAGTGGGGAGAGGAACTGAGACGTGGGGCAGCCATGACTCACGGGCTCAGCCACCAACTCAGGGGCAGCTGAGACACTCCAGGGAAAGCCCTGCCCGCCACAGAGCCCACTCTCCTGGGTCCCAGCTTTAGAGAACACCCAGAGCCTGGGCCCTCTTTTCTTCTGGCTATGGCAGAAAAAAAAAGAATAGGTCAGTACCCAGACCAACCTGTAGAGAGAATTAGCAACCCACATTCCAGAAAGAGACTGCCCTTGTTCAAGAGCTGATGTCACCTGGTGTGGTAATTCCTGGTGTCTCCCCACCCCCACTGCCCTACCATGGACTTCCCCTGCATCAGACCTCACAGAATCCTTATCAATTCTAGTCATGGGATAAATGTAATTGTCAATTGCTTAAACATAACATTGCTTGGATTAGGTGAGTCAGGTGAGTACTACAGCCTCATCCTTTTGTAAAATCTTTCCACACTGAATTATAACATTATTGGTTACAATGGTGTGAGAAACTAAGATATAGTCTTAAAAATTTTTTCCTCTCGTTTTGTTTAATTACTTTTTCATTCTAAACTAAAAGCTCTTGATATAAGTTCACAAATAGAGATTGTCAGAAGACTGTCACAAAAACACCAGAAAATTTGACAAAATCAGCAACTGTAAAAACTGTGGCAGCAAGGAAAACAAGGGCTGCATGTGCTGGGAGTGCATGCAAATAAAATCATGTGCCTTGAAACGTCGCTGTGACTGGGTAATAATGATAGCCCTGATAGTCAGAGAGAAAATGAGCATAAATTTACAGTTTTATAGGTCTATAACTTTTGGTAAACTAGATTATGAAAAAGTTTTGGCCTGTAGTGGAGAAGGAAGCAAGGTATCAGAAGATCCTAAACTGGGCTGATGGGGTGAGATGAGGCGACCTTGGAGCCCCAGTGGTTGGAGGACACAGCGGAGGATCTGTCCCTCACTGAAGTCCTATGTAAGAATCACAAGAAATTACCTTGGGCTGACCCCACCGATATTCCTGTGGTGTGTCTACAGCCTGAGAGTGGGAACCGTACAATCCAGAATCAGGAGAGTATACAGTCTCTCTCTCTTTCGTTGCCATCGAATCAGAACTGACTCATTACTGACCCTCCTGTGGGGTTTCGGGGGCTGCAAGCCACATGGAAGGAGATTGACCATAATCCTCCAATGAACCAGTTAGTGGATTTGAACCACCAGAAAGGCATCACCTTTGGTTTAACAGCACAATTCCCTATGGACTATGCCACCAGAGCTCCTTTAGTAACTTTAAGAACCCTTAAAGGTCCAGGAGTTCAACCATTTCACTTTCAGGGCAGGCTAGTTTCCCATTTAACAATGTATTCAGACTGTCCTAGGATGCTATCACAATCCCATCAATCTATCAGTGCTCTCCTTATTGCCACCTTGGGTTCTTTATTTCCAGTCACCCAGCTTTCCTACTCCTTCCTGTCTTCTGAATTTTGCTTTTAGGCAAATGCTGCCCTTCTGGCCTTCTATGGGTGAGGGTTCTGAGGAGCATGTGTTCCTGTGGACATTGCTGTTTGCTGTGTGGGTCTGTCTACTCTTTGCTCATGGGGTTGTTTGCAGGAGTGAGGTCCATTCTGACTTTGAGAGGTGTATGAGAGCCATGGTCTAGCTGGTTGCAACAGTCTCATCAAACCAGTGAGCCTTCACTTTTCTGTGAGTTTGAATTTTGTTCTCCATTCTTCTCTCACTCTTGGACCTCCTTCTCTGGTCAAGGTTGGTGGTGCTGGGCACCGTCTAGTCTTTCTGGACTTGGGCTGTGGAGACAGTGGTTTATGCAGGGCATGAGTCCGTGGAACTAACTGCTTCCTTGAGACTTTTATTCTCTTCATTCTTCTTTGTTTTGCATGAAAAGAGCCCAATAGTTGCATCTTGGGCTTAGCCAATCACAA